ACCACTCGATCCGGAGACGAGCACACTAACCATGAGGTCCTATACAAAAGCAAAAATGGCATCATAGCCATTTAGTTGTAAGAACTATATAAAATGTTGGGTAGTCAGTATTCATCTAGATGTAAACTGAAAAGGTTAATCTCTTGTGCTCTTCAATGTAGCTCCAAGTGCACCTCGCAATGTTAAAATCCAAGAGGAATCAGCTACGTCTTTGCTTGTGACTTGGAAACCACCAGAGTACCCAAATGGAATTATTCAACGATACAAGATACTCTACTCAAACAATTCTGGAAAGAACTACAGCACCACAGACATTACAAAAGGCTTGAAAAATGAAACATTATTTTATTTGTTATCTGGTCTCAAAGAGGATACAGAGTACAAGATTTATGTAAGTTCCTTGTTTTTTGATAGTTATTTAAGTACATTTACAGTTAATTAGTAATACATTAGACTAACAGTGTTGCTTATGGCTTGAAAACATAAAGCAAAGAGGATCATTATTAAGTTGGTTTATTATTATATTTATTCCCATGTAAACTGTATACCCCAGCTTTTGTTAGTCACTAAGACAAACCTTTACACTCCTTCTGGTAGCTTCCTACGCAGACGCTCTTTAGGCTTGTCATACAATTATTGTCCTTCCCATGGACATCTGCTAAAACACAGGGCTATTTTCATAATCCAATCACCATGCACTTCCTAATCAAGGCAGTAAACCTTGGACTGGAAGAAATTCTGTAAGAGACTTCAACCAATAATAGCAAGGCCTTTCAACGAGTGTGGGGGTAAAACTGTTGATTTGAATTAATACCAGCAAGAAGCTATAGACATATGTCATGAAGCTTCACTGACTTCATCGTTTAGCAAAACAAAAGGTTTCTTTTGTTTTTCGTTCAACAAAAGATCTCCAAAAGATGCACTAGCTTGGAAAACTGAGTTTTTTTTGCATATGTTATTTCTCGAAAATGAAGCGCAAATCAACAAAAGCAATTACGCAACGATGCTTTTCATGTCGAAACAAGTCAGTCTGCCAAAAATTAGCTTGATCCTGCAAAAAATACAAATTGCCCAAAAAGCAATATATGCTCTTTTTGCACGAAAGCCTTCAATTCTACCAACTCGTACTGGATTAGAAAAACTGAATATTTACTTTGACAGTACTACTGTTGAATTTGATGTGACATGCAACTGTATGGATTGTGGTTATTGCCCCAAGGGAGCTTTTTCAGTTTATGATTGGCTTTTTATTACACATGAAATGACCTGGCACTGATTGGCTCTAATAAAAGTAATTTCCCCTTGATCTCCAGCTGGTCTTTAGTAGTAGAGAGAAAAAAAATGCTATGTTTGTTTAGGAGTAAAGGGCAAAAAAATGCTCTGTTTGTTTAGGAGTAAAGGGGAAAAAGTGCTCTGTTTGTTTCAGCAGACATTCATGTGATGACCCTAAAGAGCATCTACAGTATTGTGCAAAAGTAATGAGAGCGTGATTCGACAAAATTCATGAATTTCTGGGCTTTTCGATGAAAAATGGCGAAGTTTTGTTCACCTCGAAAGTTCTAAGAAAATTCAGTGAATTTTCCTGCTGCCCATTGTTTTAGTCGACGTGAATTTTCGCACAGCGATTCATGAAGCGATTCGTGTCTACTGATAATTTGGCAAGATTTTTCGAGTGAAAATTCGCTCTCCTTGAATTTTCCTTCAAACTTTCTAGCAAAGATTTGCTCTGTTCGTTAAGTTTCCCATCAATTCCCAGTAGTAAAATGAATAAAGCCAGAGCAAAACAAGAATGTGCGCGATAAAAACCTTAATATCGTCGCGAGTGATAGTAATATCTCAAAGCCTTTTCTCACAAACTTACCTTGCTTATGTCAAGAGAAAGCTGGTATCACTTTGTTTGTTACAGTCTTAAAGCTCACAAGCTCAAATGGTCTGTTTGCCAACCTGTTTTCATTGAACAAGAAATGCTACTCGTGGTAGTACTCGTGGTTCAGCCACAATGAACCCAGGCTCTGTGCGACTTTTCGATATTACCGTCGAAGGTTTGAAGCTATTATCAAACTATTCAGGCTAGTCTCTTACAGCGGGAGTACAGTATAAGCTTAAAATAAGAGCATCTCATTTTGGCTCAGTTCGCGTAAGAATCCTTTGGCTTTTGCACTTGCCATCCTAANGTGGAAACGAAAAATGTGATGATTCTTTGTGCTTACTGAGGTCTAATGATGCAGAATTTTAATTCTTTATTCAAAAGAGTAGGCTCAGTTTAGCAGTGGTGTCAAAAATAGGGTCAGAGAGTGCTAAAAATAAGAATCCCTTTCCCATTTTCAAAATTGTTCATCCCATTCCCAGTGGTTGAATCCCAGTCCCAGTGCAGTAAATCCCATTTTCCCAGCCCAGAAAAGGGCAAATCCCAGTTCCCATTTTACCCCTTCACGCCCGTCATAAAACTACCAGAAAATCTTCAAGAATGATTGTGCAGGATCATTCAGAGTAATCCAATTGGTTGCTTTTATTTATTGATACTCTGAAGTAACTAGTTTTGTAATAATCTCATTATTGTAGAGCACAAAGTTCCAGTGACAGCATGTGATTAAAAATAGGATGTTATATATAGTGACAGTGTGGTGGTTTAATGGAGAAACTGGATTCTGAATTATTGAAAAGCCCTTGTTGGTCAAAAAAATCTGCCAAAACTGTATTATACAGTGTTGCATAATTATAGAGTTTTCACTTGGTTTCTGCATCAAACAGAGACTTTCTTTTTGCTTAAGTGGAATGCATTTTACAGATCTGTATTACTTTTTATCTTCTTGTTTAGGAAATGTTTCTAAACGAAGTGGTGTTGATACAGGGTCTCTTTATGGTGGAGTATTTGCTGGAATAATTATCTTGGCTTTTGCAATTATTATTGTTGCTCTAGTGATAAGGTAAGGTTAAAAGTGTTATGTTATTGTGTTTGATGAAGGAGCTCAATTTATGCATAGGAATAAATCAGAATAATATTGAGGTTCTACTGTTTGTTTTAATACGAGTTTGATTATTACTCCGAGATTTATTTTCTGGGGCTTTTAGCCAACCATATGCATGCATCTGCTGTTTACAGGTATTGAGCATGAAAAGCAAACAAAATGGCAGTGTTATGAGCAGTGGCAGATCCAGGGGAGGGAGCCCCTTATTTTGGGTAAAAAAAATTTGCAGAAGGAAGAAAACCGGCAGGGCAAGCAATAATACATGTACCAGTTCCCCCTCACTTAGCTCAAGTCTGGCTCCACCAGTGGACTTTGCCTTCCAACATGAAATCTATACCACAGTGGTAATCAAAAGCTCAGTTNTTCCCTTAGCTCAAGGTCTGGATCCGCCACTGATAAGGACATTCAAAATGGCCTCTTTTATTGATAAGACAATGCTTATGGAAGAAATAAGGTCCCAGCTTTTCATGCTTTTACCTGCCTGAATGCTAGGAATGAAAATGAAGCCTCGGAACAAGTTTTGAAGAAAAGAGTTGATTAAAGTGTTCAGCTTGTACTGATGACTGATTGTAGGTTGACAGTCATTTTGTGGGCTTAATTTTATGTTTCCTAGAAACATGCAATAAATAACAAGCAAAGGAGCCATACCTAGATGAATTATACAACAACATAAGATATAAAGGCATGAATGATCATTGCAGTTGTTATACACAACTTAAGCAGCTGTGAAATTAAAGCCTGAAGAAAAATTCAGGCTTGATTGGGATTCAAACCCATGACTTCTGCATGCAATACCAGTGCAGTGCTCTACCAACATGGTCCTATCAAGCCAACTGGTTAGGAGCTGGTCACATTGTGAATTTGTGATATACCCATGAGAAGACATGAATGATCATCACAACATAACCAGCTCCCAGATGGCTTGATAGCTCACTTAGTAGAGCACTGCACCCATATTGCACTGGTCATGAGTTTGAATCCCATTCAAGCCTGAGTTTTTTAGGGGGTGGGGGTTCTTAGGGGTCTGCTTTTCAAGACACCCAACATGATGGGATTTTGTACAATAAAAGAGAATTTGTCAAAACATGGACCACAAGGGAGTGCTTTCTACATTTTGAATGTGTTTTGCACTTTCCTCAACTGGAAACTCCAAACTCAGAGGTTGCCTTTAGTTCGTATTTTCATTTAATTTGACATTCAGCTTTGATAAGTTTTATTTGTCAAACTGGGTAATTTATATCGGACAATGGGAACATGATTATTTATCAATTAATGCACCCTATATAATTGGTGTTGCGGTGTACAAGTGCTTGGAGAAACTGTGGGATGATATAAGAACATCATATTTATATGGAATAAGAATAATAATTTTTATGATACTTTTGTAATCCCCTGTTAAAGTGGTCGTTAGCAAATTAAAATTTAAGAAAAATAAAAACTGACCTGAAATTCCACACTCACAGGAAACATAGAAAACGAAGGGAATCAACAGAACTTAAGAGTAATCGTTATGCTGTTGCCAACTCCAATGACAGTGGGATAGGAGACAAGGAATCATTGGACAGAGTACCTGGAGTCAAATATATGCAAGGGCGGCGTGGATCAGAAGGTTCGGAATCATGGGTTTAGTTAGTATTCACAACTATCTTAATTGACAGTATAATCAAGGCAGATATTATGTGCCAGCCTTGGTGCTAAACAAATTTGGGTATTTGATTGCAGCTTTGTTGGAATTCACTGAGTTTCTTACATTAGTGTGATGTGTCCTTGGTCTTGATCATAGCTCATTTAAAAGTAGAGTTAAAGCAATTATGGCATGAGCTAAGTAACCATTAGTTTAAAATCTTCTGTCTAAAAAAGGCTGCCAAAATAAACACTAGGAAGGTGATAACGTGGTACATGTACTCTTTGAGAAGTTTGTTGTACCGAGAGAAGTAAATCAAAGTAATGATCAGTTTACCAAAGACAGTGGGATGTTATAAAATGTAAACAAAATTCACGATAATGAATTAGTTGTGGGAGAAATATTAAACAAACATGAGAAAAAAATTGACATCAAAATAGATTTGCCTATTTTAAATTTTCATGTGTGCGACATAAGCAGCCTGTTTTAAGTTATGTCAGTTTTTAATGAGCTGAACATGCATTTTAACTGCTTAAATAAACCTTAACTATACCTGAAGGTACCTCATTTCCATTGAGATGTAGAGCAATGTTTGCTTTTGTAAATACATTTATTTCTAAAATCAGAATCTTCGGGAAGCTTATCATCATGTGGATTGCAGAGACAAGTGTGGTATTTTAAATACTTTTGTATAATATTTAGTGACAGTATGACAAATCGTGTGCTGATGATCATGGTGCTCTTTTCACATGGTTGAATACTATGATGTAATATAAAGTAAACAAGCAGTAATCATGCGGCAGAATGTTTTTTCTTGTTGCAATCAAATGAATGATTTCAAATACAAAAGATGGAGTGCCAAAAGTGGCATAAAAGCTGCCAAATATTTGGGCAGCCATTTGTAAATGTTTGTGTTTTCAGTTTCCACTTGAAACAAAAACACCTCAAAAGATTTATCATTACAATGTCTCATTTTCGTTATGCAGCTTTTGGTACTCCAGATGTACAGTTATTTATTATGCTGCAGAATATGTGTGTTACAACTTATAATTAATCTCTAAAGGTAGTTTGTTCTTAACGGCGTTGCAATGATAGTGATAGTAGGGGTGGTGAATGGTAAAATCTGAGACTCTGCCAATACATCTGTGAGCTAAGAACTTTGTTTTTAAATCCAAGACAAAGACTTATATTATAAGTGCTTTTTGAAAATCTGACTCTGAGACTCAGTGCAGAGAAAACTAAGCCCCAGGCTTGCTTGACTTCTCTTAACCAGACTTAATTATGCAAAGCGTTCTACCCAATTTGGACAATAATCAATTATTAGATGTTGGTGGCTAAATATTTGATCTGACAATTCCCTCTAAAGTTATAGGTATATTTGAACCACAAGCGGGACTTTGCAGTTAAATGTTATCCATTTAGTTACTTCTTTGTTATACTATGCAAAATCTAGTTTTGATTAGCATCACAATCCTTGAGCAAAACATAAAATATAATTTGTGATGAACATGCATTTAAGTGCGACACAATGGGGACATGTGATATTACTGTCGGAGGGTTAGAGTAGAGCTGAGTTCACAACATTCCCAAAATGAAACTTTATGGCTAAAACAAAAAATTAGGCTACTCGAGAGAGGTTTCATTTTATTTAGCAATTTAGCACTTGTTGGAACGTGGAAAAAAAGAACTCCAGTATTTCTTCACTCTTCCTAAACTTGTCTTTGTTTTCTGTACTTTTCTCAAGTCAGGGAAACAAGTTTGAAAATTTCCTGACTTTGTCACTTTGTCAAGAAATATTCCAGACTCAAGTTACTACCCCAGAATTAATATTTTTTGATCCTTTTTGTGATCTTGGTCACCAATTATTGGCCAAAACAAATCCAACAGTGCAACACCTTCTGGTGGAAAGTTTGAGACTTTGAGACAAAAAAAACAACTCAAAAGTGAGATGTTCTTGGTTTTAAAAGATGGAAGAGACCCACTTTTTGCCTCATGTCCACATAATCAAAGTCATGTGGACTCAAGGTATATGTAACCATTCTTTGCATTCCTAATACAAGATTCCTGTGAAGGGCAGCTCTGGAAACTGGTGGGTTACAATTAATTTTGTTTATGAAAGACAGACAAAAAATGTTGAATTGATGGCAGTTTGTGCCATTGATTTTGGCAACCATGCTGTTATAGCAGATTCAAGACACTCCATTTATTCCTTTTTTAATGGGGACTGTCATGTAGACCATGAAGACCTTGGAGACTCAAGCACTTGTGACAGGCTGTTTTTAGCGTTTTATTTTGTGTCCGAGCCCATGGTTTACAAAACTCACTTGCAATTCAATCAATTTTGGTAACAAATAACAGGCTAAACGTTGAAGTGACGGGTTTTAGTCACACATTCAAATCTAAATATCACAATGAGCAGAGTAAAAACTAACAACTAATGTGTATTTTCTGTGAATAAACAAACAGGTATAAATCACAAAACTTAATTGTTGTTATTATCATCAATATCTCACTGCATATAATTCAACATGGGTCAGATCTGGGCATCAGGCCAGATCAAATTAATTCGTATTGACACTGCAAGTGTAACGCTTGTATACTGTTTACTTAACCTTTTTTTTCAATCATGAGGTATAGTATGAGCCTCATGCTACTTACTTGCATTAATGGGAACAAGTGAACGAATCACCCGAAGCGAGAGATTATGATCCTTGCCTGGAACTGATTAGCCCTGACTGGTTTTCTGATCCTCTTGTATCAGTATCATTTCTCTCCATGAAATAAAGCAAGTAACAACTGTACAGATTAACACTTTAAGTTGGCTTCAACATTAAAGAGTTGTGTGAACACTCCTGAGATGGAATTCTAACCTGTGTGACAATGTGCTTTGATAAAGAGTCATAAATACTGAAGTCTCAGAAAACTAAATGCAACCCAACAGAAAAATCAAGAGATTGCAATGAGCTGATAAAAAGCCATCATATGATGTGCACTTTCCAAGAATAAGCAAACAGATATAAATCACAAGAATTAAATGTCAATAAGGGGCAGATCGTGTTAGGTTGAGTCACATTGAATTGTGTTCTTAAAAAATGCGAAAATGTGAAAAAAAGTGAAAATGCGCTCCTGTTTACTTGATCTTGCATTGTGCTTTCATTTTACACTTGTCTGGTTTAGCAGTGGATTTCTCCGTGTTCTTTAACAAGTGACATAAGGCAGGTCAAAAGGGCCTTTTGTTTTTAGCTATGTATCATTCGCCACCCCTTATAGCAATAGAAGGTCTTGACCACCTTAAATCATAAATTCAAAAGCTGACAACATTTGTTTAAGGCCATGGTTGGTCTGTTGCTGCTAACACTATCAATATCTCTGGCACAGAGCTGTTATAGTTGTTCTAAGTAATGGCAGCTGCCATGATGTATGATTTCAATGTCAAGGTTTTGTTGACAGTAAACCATTTAAAATATTTTATGATTGCTTTTTGAAAATTAAATATATTGAGCCTATTGCCAGACATTGTAGATCAATGAAACAATGCTTAGAACAGTCCTGTGGACAATAAATTATTTAAAGTTAAAAGTAATGTTAGAATAGTAATTAAACATTTAGGAACATTGAAACTTATTTTATTTATGGTATATAACCTGACTTTATATAATATGGACAGGATGATATACATTTATGTGGTTATTTTATTTCTGGAATCTTAGCAGAGCATTTCATGTTCTTTTTTTAGTTTTCATTTGTCATGTTTGTGGTTTATAAGGCTTATTAGTTATTTAATGATGAATTTGTTAAATCTTTTCATAGCACTTCTAATTTTGTTTATAGTTTAAATTTTGTCATTTTTTTCGTTTGATAAACGATTTGATGTTCAGAAGGTTTTTTGGATGTTATCTATTTATGTTGTTTTATTTTTTTTGCCACTTGGCTCTTTGGCGGCTGTGGAAGTTTGCTATATTTTTATTTTTGTTTTAGAGATAAAAAGTACCTTTTATGCTTTTTTTCACCATGGCTAACCAAATTAACCATCATTCTTTTTTATGTAAATATGTAATGTATTGCAGATATTGTAATCACATATAACACCTTTTTGGTTTTATTTTTGTTCTTTATCATTACCCTATTCTTCTCTGTAGTATTACTGCACATAAATAATGTAACTGTTATGATATTGTCTTATTCAAGAATGCCATCTTTGCAAATGTTAAATTCAATTTCTTTGGTATTGTACTCTCAACTGTTTTATTTATTGATTGATGTCTTTCAATGTTTATATCTATCTTCATTTGTCCATTCATTCAAAGGCATTCATGCATTACATATCGTCATATACAACTATGGTACTCTTAATATGTTTTTTGTTATCTATATGTTTATATCTACCTTCATTTGTCCATTCATTTGAAGGCATTCATGCATACATATCATCATATATCAATTAATTAATGTGGGAGCAAAACTAATTTATGATCTAAGAGTATGTTAGTTGCAGTAATGGTGCCACTGAATGTTGCTATAAAATTAAGCATGTGAAACATGTACCATAAAAATTGTTATGATTACTCTGAAATTAATGACTAATGAATTAATTATTTAATAGAAATTAAATAGTAAAGGAACAATGTTAAACATCTTCAAAATTGTTGGCTAGTACCTCTTAGCTTGATTAGAACCTGACACCACAGACATATACTATTTGACAGTAGAGTGTTAACATTAAAACAATAGACCACTAATGTCAAAAAAGCAATAGAGGTACCCACCCTGTACTGTGGGTCAAGGCTATTATGCTACTTGTAAATAAAAAGAGCATCGTAATTTTTACTGCAATTAGTTAAACTGCTAGCCTGAATGAATAAATTTCCACTTTATTAAATGAATTTTCCATTTCTTAGTTGCAAGGGATGTCATTTGCCAGACACTTTAGTTTGTATTCTTTCAAGACTAAAACTCGATCAATGCTGCAAAAGTTTAACCACCTTGCACATGGGTTCCCAATGCCTGAAAAGAACTTTTAATGCCCTGCTTTTTAAAATGAACTTGCTTGATCTAAGTCTGATTTGCATATAATCTCAGTAGTTAATTGAGAATTATAGAAAATTTTACATTTCCATGAAATGTGTTTGCAGCCTTTTTATGAAAGTGAGGTTTGGACTGATCTTAGAGTTCTGGAGATACTAAACTAAATAACATAAAAACGAAATGATGTACAAATACATGTACAGAAACCAGCAAGATTTGGTTACTTCCTCTCAAAGGACTGCTCACAAAGCAGAGGAAAGGAAAATGAACAACTCCAGACCTTTCCCCAAAATTCCTTCAACCCCGTCATGTTACTCTGTTTAGTAACCCCTGAAATGAAACACTTTGACTACATTTGGTAATATTAAAATGCACCCACATTTGCACAGTTATTTTCTTTGATGTGGAGGTAAGTTGTAACAGTTGTTAAATATTTCCAATCTAACCTGAAGGATTAATAAACTTTTTAGACCTGAATTTTCAACAAGTGCGATGTGTACTGGATGATAAAGCATCAAGAAATTCTGAGGCGTGGAAACGGTGTACATTAAGTTCAGGTGATGGCTTTATGAACAAGAAATTAATAGTGATGCATGTGTTGCAATTCATGGCAAGAAATGAGAAATGAGATTATGAGAATTGGTAACACTGCAAATTAAGTTTCAGCACAATATTAGAACCAACTTGTTTAGTTATATTGATCATGATGTGTTCTACCTCTGACCCCTTAGTTACTAAATTGTGCTTGAAAGAAGACTTTGAGCAGCAATCTATTTTCTTAGACCATTAGGCATGAAGGGAATTAAAAGTGGCAGAGGAGATATGACAAAGAGAAATCTGAAGGGCGAGAAAACACTTTCACTTTCACTTTCACTTCCACTCAATTGTGCCCGGGCAAAAATGTCTTCCTCATACCAGCCCAGCAAAGTTAGACAATTCAATTGCTGGCCTCAAAGGATTCTGGTAGTTTGAACTGTTCATATGCTGGAAGAATAAATGAAACAAATAATAAACACTTTCATGACTTAAATCCTTCTCAAGGAAATGTGATGTTTCATTAACAGAACTTTTTTGATGAGCTACCAGTTAAATTAAGGTTAGAAACAAAAAGATGCATTTCTTTTGTGGAAACATGCCTGTACAGAAAATTATGAACTTTCCAATATTTGGTATTTTGCTCATAATCTGACCTTTGGAAATGAAACAAAATCTGTATTGTAAAATGGAAATTATATTAAAATTTTATATCAATGAACGAATGTTGACAAAGTAGTAAGCTGATAATGATTTTTTCACAATTTATCTTGTCACCATGCACATGGCCTAAATGACATGATCCTTGGTGTTACTGATAGGGACAAAGATAAACTCGCAGGATTAACTCTGCTATAACTAACTGTGATGCAGTTACTGTATTTTAACGCTGTTGAGTGTTGTTGCACTTACAATTTTAGTGTTTTGGTTGCTTTGCTTTTTTGTGGATGATGCTTATTTTAGGGTACATGGCACTCTTTAGAAAAAGTAACATTTATCTAACTCACTGAGAATAAAATTGTAATCCAGGAGAGTAAATTTCTGAGGCTGGTTAAGATTTAGTTGTACCATAGTTACTTGTTTATTAGTTTGACTCCTTGAACATTTCAGTCTAATGATGCTTCAATTAAATGAGTGTGTTGGATCATTGGAAATGAATGTGGTGCTTGTTCAAGGGCGGTGCTTTTTCATATTTTTGCTCTATCATGTTTGGTGGTTAATCAGGGGTGGTGCTTAATCGATTAAATATGGTATGTGCAACTGATCAAAAAGTCTGTTTTATGACCCTCAACTTTTCTTCTCTGAAGTAGAGGATTCATTGACCAAGTCATTGACCAAGTGTGAGGTCAAGATGGCTGGATATTGGCCAAGTTCTTTTTTTGTGTGTTTACATGTATATGGACTAAGACAGAATTGAGGTCCATAAACTAACGAAAAAAGAATGATGCCATTATCCAACCATCTTTACCGAACAAGCTTGGTTAATAAAGGATTTATTTTGTGGCTTTTGGGGAAAATTTTCTTATGGGACACAGCGGGTAGTCCCAAGCAGGTAAAATAGCATCATTTTCTTGCCCACTCAGGTAGCCAATCACAGCAAAGGATTTGGTTCATCTTGCCTGCTTATGGAGCTGGCGATATAATAAGAAACAGTTATTGCCCCCAGCTATTTTACTAAACACATCCCTCAGAGGAAATACATGATATCCAGCAGAGTGATTTTATGTTTGAGTTTACATTTGTGGTAACTATGCAAGTTTGATTTTATCACCGAGCCATAGCTTTTAGTGGCTAAATAAAAATTGCCTCTACTTTTATAAGCACTTTCCTTGGAAGACAATAGCTTAGGAAAGATAAACTAATTTCTTTCAGTCTATTGCATTTCCCAAAATTGAAATTATTGAACACATTGTGCTGAAACTTTGACTTGCAGTGAGATAGACTTTGGTCTTCTCTTCTCATTTCTGGAAATGTTGCTTCTTATCACCAGTTTATTAGTGGTGACTTTTGTCTTTTAATGTGATGTGGCTGTGCAAAAATGAAAATTGAAAATAACACTTAAAAAAATCCCTAAACCACAGGTAAGTAAAATGATGTAAATGCACTTCACATTAACCTATTCTAAAATTTGTAAGTGGTATAACGTGGAGTCATAAAAGTAATATCAAATCATGTATATTGATATATAAAGATAAATAAAATAGAGGAATTCTAGAATTTGACCGATTAATTTAAAATAAGTAAATAAACAAATAAATAAATAAGTAAAATATATAAAGATTATTTTAAATCATTTGTAAGAGACTAGCTGAATGTACATGCACAGTGTATATAATTTTGGAAGCTTCTTGTTTGTACACTAACAGTCAATAGCTCGATCATTTCCGTGTTTTGAATTCACACTGACGCTCTCTACCCAGAAATGGGTGAACCTGTGGAATATGAACCTGTTTGAGCAAACTGTGATTGTAGTAATGGATACTCATGGGGCTTGAGGATCACTAACCACTCCTGATCAAACTAGGTTTTCAGTTCATGGAGTGCCAACCCTAATTTGGGTAAAGAGAATGTTACTATCAATGGGATCCTAGTGTTACCCGAATAACTTACTGGGTGTGATAGACTTCTTACTTCTCCTTACAATATCTTACAAATCATATGGGAATATTGTCTTTGATGTGCTAGAATGAACAATATTAACACTAAAACAAGTATGGAAATCATAAAGGAGAATTCATAGTTTGAGAGTGGGATTAATTGAAAGGGTTTGACGTTCGTCTGCAACAGGAATCTACTGCGAGTTAATAAGCAGCAGTATATGGGTCATAGTTAAGGTATCCGGTCATTTCGCCCCATGGTAATTTCGCCCCAACCAAAAGTCACTTCGCTCCATACAGAAGTTACTTCGCTCCATGATATAATTAAAGTGTATATATGTTTACAAGATTGTCTCTATTTGCCTAGCTGATCATAGTGTTGAGGAAAGTAATCGAACGAAGTGATATTTAGTGTATTTTGAGGGATTACAACGGATAAGAATGCGCGATGAGGAAAGTAATCGAACGAAATGACATTTAGTGTTACCAAGCGTATTTAAGCGAACGCGACTGGAAGCTGCAGTAGTTAATAATCTGAACTGACATAAGTCTTAAGTTCAAAATCAGTCCAACTCCAACATCAAAACGAAAAGTTCACGACAAATTTCACTAATTTTTTACATGGAGCGAAGTAACTTCTGTATGAGGCGAAGTGACTTTTGTATCGGGCGAAGTGACTTCGATTATTGGGCGAAATGACTTTTGGTTGGAGCGAAATGACCATGGGGTGAAATGACCGTAAACCATAGTTAATTTAAAGCTGCGATCTACCAAACCTCACAAGTGGACACATGCTGTAACAGGACACCTGCTGTAACAGGACACCCTCTTTAGTATTCTTATAACAGTACTTATTATATGACTGAGGAAATTACCTCAGTGTGATTGGCTGGAAGCAGGCCAATTTATCGTTAATTATTAATTTGCACTGCAGCGCTAACGCGCCCTTGTTCGCAATTTTCTCAGTCACGTAATAAATGAGTAATCGTATGAAAGCTCGAGCAATTAAGGATTTACTCTACTCGTGATATACGAAAATTCTTTCTAAATGCACTCGCCTAAAAGATCGTGCAATTTTGAGAGAATGTTCAAATATCACTCGTAGGGTAAATCCTAATTTAATTGGACTCTCATTCATACGATTACCTATACTTATTATTGATAATTTTGGGTGGACTTACACACGGCTGGTGCAATAAAGGCTTGGAGAATTCGACTGGTAGAGTGTATTTAAAGCGTTTATTCTGAGCTTATCACGTCCTCCATTTTTTAAATATTTTCTCAGGAAGCCCAAGCTCACAAATGAGCATCCCTGTACATAAAGTAGTAATCAGGTTACACAACAGTCGAAATATATGGATTTGTAAGGGAAAAACGGTTATATTCTTAAACTCCCCAAAATATGGACGAGTATGTATAAAAGTAAACCTACGTCGCTTCAGGTGTGTGTCTCCTTACTATATGTAGCAGTGCATGAAGCTAAAAACCACTTAAACTACCATAAATCAGCCTAGAAACCTCACAGGAACCAAGGAAACACACGCCTGAAACAAGTTAGGTTTATCTTTGTTCATACTCCTTCGTATTTTTTAGATTTAAGGACATAACCGTTTTTCCCAGACAAATCTCTATATTTTGACTATTGCAAAACCTGAATATTTACTATTGTGTGTATAAGGACGCTCATTTGTGAATTTGGGCTACCTGTGATAATTCAAAATGACAAATAAGATGCTCTTTGCCGGGGTCTTTGCTAAGGTGGAAGTGAGTTCACGTTGGTACCATGTTTAACTTATTTGCAGATGTTGTTGGTCCAGGCAAGTTTGTAACCATCAAACCTATTCCAGTAGAGAAGCTACGGGAATACTGTGAAATCAATCATGCAGATGCCAACAAGTCATTTAGGGACGAGTTTGTGGTGCGTTCATTCATTGTTATTGATATTTAACTCTTATAACACTGTCTTCACCCGTGGTTGTTGTTAGGCGATTCCCAAGTGAACAGTACTGATACGCACTCTTGTCTAAGCGGTATTTTGACATCCTTTCATTTAGACTATAAATGTTTTTTTTTTTTAACTTTTCAAATTGCAGTCAATCAGAGTTCCTGGAAATTTCACTTGGGATAGTAGTCAAAAGCCAGAAAACAAAGCCAAGAACAGATTTAAGAATATCATTCCATGTAAGTTAAAATTAGGGGATACGGTGGAATCCCGTTGACACGGTCACCAGCTTTACGTGAAACTTTGACCGTATTAATGGGTTGACTGTATTAACGGGGTAGGGTCAAATTTCATGACTGGTCTATTTTATCGAATCTTAAGACAGAAGTGATGTCTTGACAGGGACATTTTTAAACAACTCTTCTGTAATAAACATTCAAAATGCAGGTGTAATTGTAAAAAAGTTGAAACTTTAATCAGTTCATGCAATATTAACAATGGAAAGATGAACATTACTTGTTCATTGAGTGGCCGTATTAACTGGGTAAAATTATAGAGGATTATACAGGTTGAAAGATGATGATTCTGTTACTTGTGAGCTAGTGTGAACGTCTAGTTAACAAAATAATATAACAAGAGAAAAGATGGAGAGAATAAAAACAGATTGAATTCATTTATTAAACTTGATTCTTGGCTGCTACTGAGCTTCCTGATAGAATGACGTATAAGTTGGACCTGTTTAAAAAAGGTTTACATTGCCCGAGTTCATTCTTGTTGTATTATCAAGCTATTTTATGATAGGTTGTTAATTTTTAACAAAGAGAAATATTCATGGACCAGAGGTGATTACCATTACTATTTGTTTTTCTCTATTTATTTAATGGAAGTCGGATTCATGATATTGTCTTAAGGGATTACTCACTGAATTTAACCGTACCACTTTATGATTTTTATATGGTCCATCACTGGTCACTGCACATGTCTTTCTGGTTTTAGACAGCGAGCCCGTCGTGCCTGCCTTTCAGTTGTACAGACGTATCCGGCCTATATTCAAATGATAGTTTTTAGTGAGGGCTGATGTTCATTTTGATTTGCCATGTTTAAATACTTTTTTTTATTATGGTTGTTGTACTACAGATGATCACACTCGAGTTACATTAGCTGAAGTGGATGGCTGTCCAGGGAGTGATTACATCAATGCCAACTTTATTGATGTGAGTATAATTTTGCTTTGATTTAGGAAATTACTTTGCCAGCCAAACCATCTTTGATTACATTTCCTGTTTGCTCACACAAAATTCTGACTTCTTTTTCAGGGCTATAACCACCACTGCAAGTTTATTGCTACTCAAGGTTTGAGTTAAACATTGTTAGGATTGCCTGTTTTTGCAGCAGCTGAGGGAAAGCATCAAATAGATTTAGCGAAGACAACGCCATGTCAAAGCGGGAAGGGTGCTGAGCGCATCTGAGTACTTGGAATAGTCTGGACACGACTTGATTTTTATTTCCGGTGCTCGCGCTGCCTTCGTCATTAGAGATCTTAAGCAATGATGACGACGACCCCGAGGATGACACTTGCTAAAAGCTGAATTTATATTTTACTTTGCAATTGTCTAGATCTGTTTAATGCGTCTGTTGGTCTCAGAACTTGCTCAAGCTGTGTACGTTACGCCGGCGTTCAATAGCGAAGCGCGCGAGTGACGTCATAACTCAGACAAACAAAACAGAAAGGTGGAAGATTTGACGCTTTTTCAAGCGCGTAAGCAAGTGTTCCTAAAACAATTTTTAAAACGAAAATTGGGCGTTCGTTTTCCTCCTATTTCTCTCAGAACACGCTTATGTTGTCTGACTTTCGCGGGGTTCCAATAATGTGCATTCTATTTTTAGACTTCGCGCGCTTCGTTATCGCTGATGAAAATACGAAAAATTAACCGCCGCTGTTCGCATTCTCAAAAGTACGCGGAACTTGATCATTTCACGTTTTGTTGCGAAGAAGACAGAAAAGAAATGGACATAGATTTATAACGCACATGCGCAGCCATTGTCCTGCTCATTAAACTGGCTTTTGTTCGGTGGCGTTCTCGTTGCTGTCGTGGTTTGCTTAAGCTCTCTATTACCAGATCACGACGGCATGTTGCACGTTTCACGTCACAACCAGAACGCAACTTATGACATTCTAGAAAGTGTGCGCAAGCTGGTGTTGATTTGATGTCGTGTTGTCTCTGCTTATTCTGCAGTTGTGTTCAGTTTTGCGTAATGTTATTTTACATATAAATATAGACATACATCATTTTAGAGGAACCCAATCTCGTTCCCAGAGCCCATGTGTCTATTGGTCAGCGCCTGGTGTTTCGAAATGTGCTCTAGAAACCGTCCTTAAAAAGTGTTGTTTGCTCGTTTAAGAGACCTGAAGATCCAGGGTTTCCTTTTAACTGCAAACCGCAAACGTCTGCCAGCAGTTGAAAGTTCGAACTTCGCCGTATGAACATAATCGTAATGATATTTAGATTTAATCCGATTGGAGGAGTTGTTGGATTTATTGACGCCACCTCTGTGGCAAGCATTACGTTGTGTTTCACAGTTAGCCATTGAAAGGAAGCCATCTCAGAACTGAGCAGGAAATGGGATGATATATTTTCTTCGTAAAAAGTATGGAATGTTGTATTTTGAGAACAAATCACGTGCATCACAGGCGACGCCATGTTTGTTTACGACGATGCAATGGATGCGTGCAGGTGGTTGTTAATTCTCTTAATCTCGCAAATGAATCAAACAAACCCCTGATTGATCGAGATTTAAACATGGCTTAATGGTTTTAAGACTAGTGAAAAACTCTGCCGTAATTCACTTACTTCCAGGCAGTGTCCTTGACGTTCAAAACCTGAACCTCAAACGTCAAACGCGACGGCAAGGTCAGACTCGCGTCACATTTTGAGGTTTGCGGTTTGCGGGAAACAGGAAAAACGTCGATCTTAATGTCCTTGACAATCACCGCGTTGGTTCACATCTGTCACTTAAACAAAAATCAATATGCGAGAGAAAATCACACTGGGATGTAGAGCGAGCCGGCCATCGAAGATAGCAACGTTGACAGAGACCATTTTCATTCACGTGCAATAAATGTGTTTCAGGTCCTGTGGCTAACTCGTTTGGAGAGTTTTGGCGGACGGTCTGGGACCAAGGCGTTTGTGTCATTGTCATGGTGACAAACATGGTTGAGGGAGGACGGGTAAGTAGAGATGTTTTTTTTTTGTAATACAGTGGAACCTCAATTTAACCAATTTCTATACAACAAAGTCCACGGTATAACGAACGATATTCTTCAGCCCGGGGAAAGTTACAATGAAATGTATGGAACAGAACCTCGCTACAACAAACCTCGATTTGACGAACCAATTAATTTCCCCAGTCCCAATTGAGGTTCCACTGTACTGAGTGAGAACGAACAAGAAAACCCATCACCTTAGCAACTATTTGTAGCTTTAGCTACTAAAATGGTGTCAAAACACTTTTTTCGCTTGGCTGAGTAAAGCCGAGTTACTAAGCAACCAGCTGGTCAGTTGAGTGAATACGTATTAAGTCGGACACTTGTCGTGTTAGGAGAATAGGGGAGAAGTTGCACTATGTTTAACATCTACGATGCTACACTCTGTAGGAAGTATTTTTCCATGCATTGGTTTACTTCAGGGTGAAAAATAGTTTAGATAACCTGACTTTGTTTTTTTTTTTGGGCGCTAGATAGACGGATGAGGTTATGGAATAGTATTGACACGAAGCATTACTGAAATCTTCGGTGGTAAAAAAACCGATTTGCTACCAGCTAAGCCTGGACAATTCCATTGAAAGCATTGCTTTACCTTATGGTAAAACAATATGCTGTTGGAAAATTTAGATACCAAGTTTAAGCTCTCCTTGCAGTCACTGTAATAACCACACAAGTATGATTACAGTAAAGCAGTTTTACCCTCTCAGTTCCTAATTGATTAGATTGTTGATTTCCACAACTTGTGGGAATTGCTCTTTTGCATAATAATTAATGCGGGGAACAAAAACTTGTCGGCTCAGTTGCAACGTCCACCCTTGTATAAAAAGGCCAACCGCTCGTGTATAAAACAACTTCTTGCAGGGGGAAATAGATTTATACGTGTTTCCTCTATTTATTATTTTTACTCTTATTCGTACGTTCAGATCAAATGCTTGAAGTACTGGCCGAGCGCTAGTCTAGAAATGTATGGCCCTGTGTTGGTTTCACCTGGTGACGAAGAGGAACTAGCTGACTATGTTGTCAGAAAGTTTACTATTCAAATGGTAAGTCTGGCTTCAATTGTCATATTTTCTTTCGTAATGCTCTTCATCTGGTGTTTTCTTTAATTTACAGTGCGACTACTCTAACCAAGGCCGCCCGACAAAATTGTCTACAAATTTAAGGAATAAAAATGGTGGAGGTTAACAATAGTTTTTCAACAAATTATCCATGTAATCAAGCTGTACATTACAAAGGCAACAGATCTGTGGTCATTTTGATTAGTAACTATTCTTTAACTTTTCAAGATGATTTCCAGTCCGTACCGCGCAGTCTCAGCACCCTAATGTTTATAAACATTATAAGTCTCACTCGATGGAATGCGAATCGATGTTATTCGTTACGAACCACATACCTTGTCTTTGAGGCCTTTCAAATTCTTTTTCCAACAGCTTCATTGATTTTTACAGCTGCGAAGTTGTTTCATCACGTGATATGAGGAAGAACGAAGCATAAAGCTTCGACCGCTTCGCATCCATAATGGCGGTTGTTTTGAAACTCTGAATGTAGTTCATGTAAGTAGTTGCGAAATGTTTACATTTTGTGATGTCTTACATGAAACAAAACAAAAAACGCAAACAAACTCGAGAGTGCGCAGTACGGACTGGAAATCATCTTTAAATTGCCAGCGGTCAATATTGGCAAAGAATTTGCTTAAGTAGCCTTGGTCGGAGTAGTTCGGAGTAGTTGCACTGTAAGGATGGTTTTACGTGTACGCAGATGCAGAATAAAATCTTCGATTGGAGCGATTTCGATCGCGTGTGTGGTGACAGATTTATGTTTTCTGCACGTAGTTACATGGTGTGTTCTAAATTTTACCTGACAGTTTGAAAAGTTTGTCAGCTGGGTTCTTTTTGTTTTGTTAATGCTGATTTTCTTGTTGTATGTTAGACGTCTGATACAGCAGAGTATCGTGCTCGTGAGGTAACACAGTACCATTTCACAGCATGGCCTGATCATGGGGTCCCCACTCACGCCACCTCACTGCTTGCTTTCTTGAACAAGGTCCGTGCGTCTGTGCCAGAGGATTCTGGGCCCATTTTGATCCACTGCAGGTAAGGGAACTTTACTACTTAAGACGTCAGTTTGAACAGATTTTAGCCGATTATAACATAATCTGAGCCCGACTTTACAACTTGTGATTTATGTCTTCAAATTCGAGAATTCGTTATCCACACTCGCATTTCAAGTTTTGTTTTTCATCACACCGTATTATTTAGATGTGTTTTAAACTTACTAAAATCCTGCTAAGAATATATGACTATGCCAGGAAAGTAATGTGAGTTTAGAGATCACTTCATGGGTGACACTGCGGATTGATGATGATGATGATGATGGTGATTATTATTATTAAAGATTCGCACAGCTATTGATGATATTGAAGCTGGTTT